TTCAGTGTGCCCAAGATCTCATCACGCCAGAATAGGCCTTGATCTGGGATTCACACTGGTGTGTTCAAGAACAGAAACGGATAGGGTGACGTCAGAGAGGTAGGCTCAGGTCAGACTCTGCAGGGCCTGTAGTAAAAGGCATGGGGTTTAGATATCACCCTAAATACAAAGAAAGCCACTGGAGGGTACTGAGCAGAGAAGTGACATGATCTTTATATTTAAAATATCACTCTAACTGTATATGGAGATAAGCTGTAGAGAGGAAAGAAGGGAAAAGAAAAAGCACCTGTGAGGCAAGAGATAACCTTCATACCCCCGCTCTACATGCATGGCCTGACACAACATGATGCTCAATAAATGCTGTCTGGACAAATGGCAACTCAGCCAAGGCTTCTGGGATCAGATATGATGGCAGATCAGGAAGGACTTCCTGGGTGTTTCTGTAGAGAGCAGAGTTGTTTCCATCTTTGAGATTACACCCCTGCAGAATAGTCTAGGACCTTCAGTCTTTTTATATCAGTCTACTCCAACTTAAGGGAAAGGAGAGAAGATGCTCTGCATAAAAGGCACCCAGACATTAGTGCCATTGGGCAGTCTCAAGCACGTGCTTGTGCCAGTGCAGTCTAAGGCACCCAGCAATCTCTTTAGCTCTCCCTCATGGCCACCCTTCTCCAATTTTCCTAGGACTGGGAATTGGGCCATTGTAGATGATCTCCAAAGTGGATAACATGCTTTGGGGTAAGGGGAAGTGGACTTATCCCAAAGAAAGTCTGCCCAGCTAGCTCTGACTCTTCCTCTTTCTATACTGTGCTTGGTAGACTTGCTGGGGACTGGCTCCTGGTTTGACAAATGAGGAACTCGAGTCCCAGAGGGTGAAGACACATGTCACACAGCACAGCAACGAGACAGACCAAAGCTTTTACTGAAGAGAGCGTCATTTTACATGATCACAAGCAGTTTTGTCTGGCAGAGTCACGCTCAGAATTCCTCCGCCCCACAGATCTTTCTGTAAAAACAGAGATATGCAGCCGAAGTGTTTATTATGCTTCCCTTACACTCTCTGGTTTCACTTGGGAGAGTAGAATGGGAAACGAGAAGTGCTGAGCGGAGGCAGGACAGGGAGCGTGAGGGGACCCAGATGGGAACAGTCGGTAGGACTACAAAAGTGTATATAATATTGGGGCGAAAGCTACCCACGTTTTGTTAAAATGTGTTACAGGAAAAAAAGAAAAACAATCACACGTCAGATGCCTGGGGGCTGCTGCTGCTCTAAAGGGATACTGACGAACTACCCATCAGACACTGTCCGTTGTCGCCCAGCAAAAATCTCTTTTCTTTGCTCTTGAGTAATCCAAACATCAGCTATTTTTAAACCTGCCTCGGGTGGCAGCAGCCCCGCGGCGCCGAGGAACGCCGCACTGGCGGCAATGGCGGCGGCGCGTCGTCCTCGCGCGGGGCACGCCGGGAAACTGGGCCTCACCCAGCCCCGCCCCGGTGACGTGATTGGCGTCGGACGCTCGCGGCGCCGGTGCTCACGGAGAATCTGCATCCCGCAGAGGATGGGCTGCCTTTGCCCGTCTCTGCCGGGCCCCGAGAAGTCTGGGCAATTACATTTTGTTGGTGCAAAGAGCAGAGGGCCTTTCTAGTCACGGAACCGTGTCATGTCCGGTGCATTAGAACAATGAGGAAGGTTCAAGAGGAAATCCAAATAAACACCCCAGACGGTGAGGGGGAGAGCAACCCTGTAACAGTAAACCCGCTCCCGGAGGAGAGGTCAGAGGGACTGACCCCCTGTCTCTGAAGGCCCGTGCCCTTTTGTGTCATGGGCCCCTTCCTCTACAAAAAGATTTTTAAAATTATCTTTACAGCTGCATCGGTATACAGGCAAATATATTGATATTACGTATTAAAACGTTTCTTTGACTTGAAAGTTCAGGGTTTTTTTCCTTTCTATTTTAAAAGAAATTAAGACCCTTCCTGTGGGCCTCTGCAGGCGCGCGGACAAGGTTAGGACGCCGCTGAGGTCTTCACCCCGCAGGCAACACTGCTGCCCGGGGTGTGAGCCCCTTAGGGCAGTAGTAGCTCCCGGACTAAATGTAAAATGAGCCCCCAACCTTAGCAGCAAGAGCTCTGTGGAAACCTCAAAACAAGAATCGCTTATGCACCCATTCCTGCTCAAAATCCTCCTGGAAATTTCATTGCCTGTGGTCTATTTTGGAGAAAGCTGACTTAACAACCAAGTGCTCTGCACCCACCACGGAGGAACCAGTGCAAAATGTCATCAGTGGGGAAATTATCTTTAACTTGCAAATTCTAACCTGTTAAGAACATGTATGTGCAAGAGAAGGGGCATAGATGAAAATAATAATGAGGCAGAAAAGAGGACAGTCCACCTGGAATCCAGAAAAGAGAGTTGATGTACAGATTCCTTAGTTATCTAACCAATCTGTGGGGAGAAAAAGATAACAAGTCCTGGTTATTTGCTGATTTCTTTTTGCTTTTAGTTTGAAAAGTTTCATAGAAGACAGAAAAATAACTTTTTTTATTCAACAAATATTCTCACACGCTATTTCAGACCCTGAGTCAGACATTAGGACCCAGAAGTAAGCTTGAAACCTATGCTCCAGTGGGGAAGACAGCCTATTTAAAAAGCAATAATAAATACCGTCAAGTGGGACAGACACACGAAAAAGTAATCCCAGGTGAGATGAGGGGTACCAAGGAGAAAAGCAAGATGCCAGACAATGTGTGATGGGATGACCTAATCTTTCTTGTGAATCGTGGACATTTCCCAGTTGAAAGTGACTTTCAAACAGACCAGAAATGGACTAGCTGTGTGGAAGTGATAAAAAATGGAAAGAAACTTCCAGGTTAGGTCCTGCAGTGGGAAAAAAAATCAAATGAAGCTTACAGAGATTATAAAATGGTGATTTATGATGACACTAGCACTATAGGTAGGAACCTGAATATCTAGTACCCTATAGGCCATGCAAAGGAACTGGGATTTGGGACTTTATTCTAAGGGGGATGGGAAGCTTTTGAAGAGATCTGAGCACAGAAGCATTGAAAAGATCACTCAGTGGGCTGCAGTGGAGAACAGATTGGGCAGGGAGAGGGAGGCAGGAGTTACCAACCCTTTGTTCAAGCAAAAGATGATGATCTTTTGGGCCAGATGGAGACAGTGGGGTTGGAGAGAAATGGACAAAGTTAATGGGTGTGTAGAGGTTAGATAAGTCCTCATGACTGACTTAACATGGAAGATGAAGGCCAGGAATGTTTCATTGATTCCTGAGTTTCTGGCTTGAGCAAGTAGGAAGGACCATGGTGGAACTTTTACATTACTGAACAACTCTGGAGGAGAGGCAAAATATAGAAAGGTGAGAGGTCATGTTCAGACGGTAAAGGTCATCGGCGGAACTAAGACTTGAGCAGGTGCCAAATGGCTCCAGAGCTCACACTACTCCACCATACTGTATCACCCTTATGTTATCCCTAGTAAGGCTAGCATTGATGGAACTCCAAGTAGTATGTCCTTAAATTTTATAGTTAGCTTAAGCCAATTATTTTGCCTCCTGTGTGGTCTATACACCCCAAGGGTGTCTCTTCTGTGGATAATTAGTTTTGAGTCTCAACTTGTCCTTATCTCCCAATAAACATTAAAATATTAGCACCTGGGTTTCTCTCCCACCCTTGCTTCTCTCTCCAACTTCTCCATCTGACTTCTTCCTTTCCTCCAGCCTCCACATCAGCAGGTCCTATAGACTCTGCTGCCAAAACTTATCTTGAGTCC